GTAGTTCATGACCAAGAACCCAAAAGCAAATGCAACAAAAACAAAAATAAAGAGATGGGAACTGATTAAACTAAAAAGCTTCTACATAGCAAAGGAAATAATTAGCAGAGGAAACAGACAACAGACAGAGTGGGAGAAAATACTCACAAACTATGCATCTGACAAAGGACTAATATCCAGAATCTAAAAAGAACTCAAACAAATCAGCAAGAAAATAACTTGCATGAACAAGTAGGCAAAGGTCATGAATAGACACTTCTCAAATATGCAAATATCCAACAAACATATGAAAAAATGCTTAACATCACTAATTATCAGGGAAATGGAAATTCAAACCACAGTGCAATCCCACCTTACTCCTGCAAGAATGGCCATAATTAAAATTAAAAAACAATACTTGTTGGTGTGGATGTGGTAAAAAGGGAACACATTTACACTGCAGGTAAGAATGTAAGCTAGTACAACCACTATGGAAAACAGTATGGAGATTCCTTAAAGAATTAAAAGTAGAACTACCATTCGATCCAGCAATCTCACTACTGGGTATTTACTCAAAGGAAAAAAGTTATTATATAAAAATGTCACTTGCACATGCATGTTTACAGCAGCACAATTTGCAATTTTGAAAATATATAACCAGCCCGAATGCCCATAAACCAATAAATGGACCAAAAAAAATGTGGACTATATATACAACATGGAATACTACTCAACCATAAAAAGGAACAAAATAATGGCATTTGCAGCAACCCAGATGAAGCTGGAGAACATTATTCTAAGTGTAGTAACTCAGGTATTGAAAAACCAATTACCATATGTTCTCACTAATAAGTGGGGGCTAAGCTATGAGGATGCAAAGGCATAAGAATAATATAATACACTTTGGGAACTTGAGGAGAACAGTGGGAGGGGGTAAGGGACAAAATACTGCACACTGAAGACAGTGTACACTGCTCAAGTGACAGGTGCACCAATCTCAGAATCACCACCAAAGAACTCATCCATGTAACCTAAAACCACCTATTCCTGCAAAACTACTAATATTTTGTTTAAATGTGTAAAATATCTGAACAGATACTTCATTAAAGATACACAGATAGCAAATAATCACATGAAAAGATGCTTAACATCATGTCATTGGAGAATCACAAATTAAACCAACAATGAGATACCACTACATACCTACTAGCAGGGTGAAAATCCAAAACATTGATAACAGTGAGTGCTGAGGAGAATGTGGAGCAATGGCAAGTCTCATTCATTGCTGGTCGGAATACAAAATGGTACAGCTACTTAGAAGAGTAGCTTGACAGCACTATTCACGACAGCAAAGATATGGAATCAACCTAAATGCCCACCAATGACAGATTGGATAAAAAAAATTGGTACATATACACCACGGAATAGTATGCAGCCATAAAAAGGAATGAGATCATGTCTTTTGCACAAACATGGATGAAGCTGTAGGCTGTTATCCTTAACAAGTAAATGCAAGAACAGAAAATCAAATACCACATGTTTTTACTTATAAGTGGGAGCAAGTGATGAGAACTTACAAACACAAAGGAAACAACGGACACTGGCATCTTCTTGAAGTGGGAGCTAAATGATGAGAACTTACAAACACAAAGGAAACCACAGACACTGGGGTCTTCTTTCTTCTAGGAGAAAGGAGAGGAGGAGAAAAGATAACTATTGGGTAATGAGTTTATTACCTGAGTGATGAAATAATCTGCACAACAAATGCCCATGATATGAGTTTACCTGTGTAACAAACCTTCACATGTACACCTGAACCTAAAATAGAAGTTGGAAAAACAATTAAATGAACAAATAAAAATAAAAGATTCATTCACCATGATCAGTGGGGTTTATCCCAGGGAAGCACGATGGTTCAACATATGCAAATTAACAAACATGATACACCACATTAACCGAATGAAAGATAAAAACAACACAATCATTTCAATGAATACACAAAAAGCATTTGGCAAAATTCAACACCCTTTTGTGATAAAAACTCTCAACAAATTAATTATACAAGGTATGTACCTCAACATAATAAAGGGCATATGAGATAAGGCCACAGTAATATCATAACCAAGGTGAAAAGCTAAAAGCTTTTCCTCTAAGATCAAGAACCAGACAAAGTTGCTCACTCTTGCCACCTCTATTCAACATAGCACTGGAAGTCCTAGCCAAAGCAATTAGGCAAGTGAAAGAAATAAGAGGCATTCAAATTGGAAAAAAAGAAATAAAATTGTCTCTTTTCCCACATTACATGATATTATACATAGAAGATTTTAAATATGCCACCAAAACCCTGTTAGAACTAATAAATAAAGGGAACTGCAGCATACAAAGTCAACATACAAAAAGCAGTTGGATTTCTATGCACTATCGAAGATGGTCTACCCAAAAAAGAAAGAAAACCCATTTAAAATAGCATCAGAAAGAATAAAACAGAAATAAACTTAACCCAAGAGGTGAAAGAACTGTATACTGATAACTATCAAAGAGTGATGAACAAAACTGAAGATACAAATGAATGCAAGATATCCTATGTTCATGAATTGGAATAATTAATGTTAAAGTAGCCACACTACCCAAAGCTATCCACAGATTCGATTCTAATGGCATATTTCACAGACATAGGAAAATAAACAATTGCAAAATTTGTATGGAATCACAAATACTCTGAATAGCCAAAGTAGTTGTATAACCAAAGCAAATAAAATCAGCAATTGCAAAGATATCTGTATTCCACGTTCATTGCAGGATTATTCACAACAGCCAAAATATGAAAACAACCTAAGTGTCTGCCAACAGATGAATGAAGAAATTGTGGTACACACACATACACAAACACACACACACACACACACACACACACACAGGCAATGGGTTATTATTCAACCATAAAAAAAGAAAGAAAACCTGTCATTTGCAACAACATGGATAAACCTCAAGGGCATTATGCTAAGTAAGTCAGACAGAGAAAGACAAACTCTGCATGACTTTATTTGTACTGGAATCTTAGGAAGTTGAACTCACTGAACTAGACAGTAGAATGGTGGTTACAGGGGCCAAGGTGAGGGAAAGGGGAGAGGTTGGGAGGTTGGCCAAAGGGCACAAACTTTCAATGATAAGATAGGTAAATTCAAGGGATATAATATACAGCATGGTGAAGTGATACATATAAACTAATTTGATTCTGGTAATCATTCCACAACATATATGTATATCAAATTATCACATTGCACATCTTAAAACAATTTTACTTGTCAATTACACCTCAATAAAGTTGGGGAAAAAGAAAAAAAACCATAATCCCAGAGGGTCATATAACTACCTCTTCCCTGGGCACATCTTGAATTTATCATTACCTATAACTTTTTAATAGCTAAAATCATAAATTCTGCAAGTTTTTGTCTGAGTACAACCTCCTTTCATTACAGTTTCGATTTCCTTACTGATCTATTCCAGTTCTTACAGGTAAAGTTACCTACCTTAGAAGACTTTTAGTGAAAATTAAATGAAATAATGCATATCAACAGCTTAGCACAGTACCTGATACACAATAAGTCCTCAATAAATCATAGGCAAATTTTGATTTTCATTATTCTATTATAAACAAATTATCTGCCAATACCCAAACTGTCCTCAAACTCACTCTCAACCTCTGTCATTAATGAAATTTGGCTTTTATTTGACACTATTATTATATATTCCTCTAAATCCTTTTAAATGAAGGCCAGACCCCCAGGAATTCCTCAATTCCAGAAGACAGGAGAAATCAGTACAGTTCTGGCTTCTCAAGCACCACAATCTCCACAAATCTTAGCCATTTCTAATACAGTTACCCTACCTTGCAATGATCAGAAACTGTTTCACCTCCAAGATCCTAAATGCTTGAAATTTCCCTGATTAAAATAGAATATTCTTTCAACTCTCCTAGTCTTTCTGAACTAGATCTTCTCTGTCACTATGGTCATAAATCTTCTAGTACCCTGGTCCATCACTTCAATCTTCTTCTTCATTTGTCTCCTTTTCCCGAATGGATGACTATTTGGATAAATTTCCTAGATCTTCTAGCATTCTCACCTTGACAACACACAGCACTTGAGCACTCCCACTGTCTCCTCTTCCCATCCTATGCTGTGAGCACTGCTGCAGAAAGTCACTACTAGAGCCAACACTAACCAGGGCCTCACATCTCCGCAATTATTAATATTTTATTCAATGTCTACTGATACTTTACCGAATTTCCTACAGCACCTTTTCCAAGCCTATCCCATTCTTAACCTCATAAAGCCACATTTTCGTCTCTCAGCAAATGACCTTAAGATTTACCCAGAAGATACCGACATCCACTGTGAGCTCGCTCCTCTACCTCCTCTGTTCTTCGAAATCTCTCTGTATCAACACCTTCTATCTTGACCAACTCTGGCCTTTGAAGCAAAGTATCTCCTCTTTGCCAAGGTTCATTCCTCCACTTGTTCTCTTGATTTTACCACTTTCTTACGAAATATGGTTATGAGTCCAGGTTCAGGACTCAAACTATGTGATTTCCGATCCAGCTCTACCACTTTACTCCTGTGTGACCCTGGAGTTACTTGACCTACCTGTAAAAAGGTGATTAATAACAGTTCCTACTCATAGGGCCAATGTGAAACATAAATGAGATAATCCACATAAACTGCTTAGCAAAATTCCTAGCACACAGTCAATATTTAATAACATAATAGCTGTAAATACTATAATCTTTCCCTCTATATACCTCCTGGTACATTTTCCCTTGTCTCCAAAGAAGCTCAAGTTTCCTGTCTCCTGTTTTTTTGTTTGTTTGTTTTAATTAAAAGATACCTTTTCTGGAATTTGCTACCCTCATTGCAAGATTTCTTTCCTTCATTTCACCACCAAACTTCTCTAAAGAGTAATGTGTAACTCCTTTCCAGAGGAAGCAAGGAGGAGTGGAAAGATTTTGCAGACAAATATACCTGTTTGAACCTAGTTCTTCCACTTAGCAGCTGTATGATTTGGAGCAAGCAGTTTTTCTGAGCCTTCGTTTGTTCATCTGTAAAATGGATATCCATGTCTTAGGGTCATCAAGAGGATTACAGTAAAATAATATATGTACATTATTTGGCCAAAGTAGGTGCTAAATGAATGCCGGTTCTCCATCCCTTATTCTTCTCTTAACCCCTTACAATCTCGGCTGTCCCTCTACCACTCTATTTATATCTCTTTAGCTCATTTCGTCTCTTATTAGCATGGTTTTGAATAATCTGACTTCTCTAAACCTTAATTTTCATCTGTAAGATGGTAATAGTACATACCACATAAAGTTGCCTTAAGAATAAGTGAATTAACACATGTAATGTGTTTTAGCATAGAGCCTTCCCTGGAGTAAGCACTTAATAAATGATAGCTGCAGTAACTTATTAATGGTGAAATCAATGGTCTGTTCAACTCTCTTCTTAAGTTTCAGTGACAACACACTATTGTGGTTTCCTTTTTGCCACTGACCATTCCTTCTCTCTCTGCACCTCCTCCATGAAGCCTTCCTTTACTCTCTTCAAACCAAGTGTGAGCTATCTCTCCTTTTCACCCCCAGAGCACTTTGTACTTAAGGTAAGAAATTTCCCTTACTCTGAATCACAGTCATTTGTGTTATATGTGTTATATCTCCAGCACTTAATTTCTTTTGTCCTCATTGCCAGGCACTTTATTTATGCAGAACATGTTGACTACCTAATATACATCAGACCTGTGCTAGGTACTAAGGTGCCAGGTACTAAGGATACAAAGGTTAATATAATTACTGTCTTCAAGGAACTTATAGTGTAGGTAGCTAGAACAGACAAATAAACAGTCCATTATCTGCAGTGAATAAATGCTTGGTTAAGATTGTGCCCAGAGACACTCTTAGACAAGGCATTATTGTGTTTTTCACATGAGGAGGCTGTACACAAATACCTGTTGAATGAATGAATGGACTATAAATACAACTAGATAAAGATGGGAAGAGGCACTTTAGGCTCAGAGAAAAGCACGTAAAAAAGCATCGAGGGGTCAAGCAAGTAGCTCAGTATTGACAGGAGGAGGGTTCCTGAGTGACAAGAGATGAAGCTGGAAAGTCAAGGCAAAATCAAGTGTTCTAGATGTAAGAATATGACCTGACCCTACAAGGGAGATGATGGCGTGCCCATAAAGGTTTTTACATAGGGGAGGGGCAAAATCAGATTTGCATTTTGGTACTGTGGCAACACAGAGGAAAATGGATTACATGAGAGCCAGGCTTGAGGTAGCAAGTTCAGTTAGGAGGTTGTTGAAAGAACTCAGATGAAGTACGAGAACCAGAACTGCAAAAATGAAGTGAGAATGGTGAATCAAGACGGACACTGCCGATTAAACTTCAGCTGAACTTAATTGTTCATCTTGTATCTCCTGCAAGCCCAACAGAATATTTTACACTTAAAACCTGCTACGTAAATATCTGTAAACTATCGTTATTTAAAACTACTTTGGGAACTGCAGCAAGCAGCCAGCTGAGTCACTCACTGTACACGGATTCCCAAGTAAAGGCACCTTTTCCCAGCGTAAAACTCGAAAGAAAACAGGTTATTCGAGCACAGAGTAACAACACTAAGTGTAAACCAGAGCACTGCTAAGAGACTATAGGACGTCTCTATCCTGGTCTGTGTCACCCCAAATAATGTTTCAACAAAGTCCTTCCATAAGGTCATGAGGCCTTGCCCTGTGCGCCGAGACAAATCCCAAGGATATGTAATTTTTTCTGATTGTTGCAGCTCAAGACTGAAACTTCTGACAGCGGCTCGTCGCCTGGCCAGCCACTTTCACCCAGCCGTTTCCCAGTTTTGTACTGTGCCACTGTGTAAATCAACAACTGCAGGGGATTGAGGGAGCAGTGTCCCAGGCTGATAAAACCCTCACGGGAAGAGGCAGGCGTCTTGAGGTTTCAAATGATAATGATTACAATTATCTCACAACCCACCTCCACCCCGCCCCTTGCTCCGGGGCTCCTTCAGAAGTTAGTAGGATCCCGTTTACTGGGATACTATCGGCAGCTACAGAAATTGAGCAAATTCATTTCCGCTTACCCTGATCGCCGCCATGTCTACGACCCTTTCAGCCAAGGTTTTTTCAGACGGAGAGCGGAGAGGGACAAATCGGTTCAACTAGGCTCTCCATATGATAGCCCCGCCCCGTCGCGCCCTTTGCCTGCCAGTTACCGCCTTTTTCCCGCCCTTCTCCGGCTGCCTCGGCAGCCGCTGCAGTTTTAGTCAGCTGTCTTCCAGAGAAACTTTACCCTTGTGGTTGGTTGACCCTCCCAGTCCCTTTCAGAATATTATCCATCGTCCAGGTGAGAGTTATTTTCCTGGGAACAGAACTTTTAATTATTTTGTTTCAGGGATATGTGATATGTCTAGATAAGGACTTAATACCCAAGTCTAGCTGCTTTTATAATTATGTAGTCAGAAAAAGAACTTATTACCTCTGCGAAACATGGGTAAGTTAATTCATTCTAAAACTATGTCACGGAGAGCTTACTCTATGCTGGGCAGTTTTTCGGGGTACAGACAAAACATAGTGGCTTCCTCATAGAGCTTATGATTACAAGAGTAAAACAGACAAATGTTGTGAATGAAAATATAGCACTATGGGAATGAGGTGGGAGTTTACTGGTTTATATCAATGAGAGAAAGACTCTGATAAGCTCATTTGAGAAAAGTCCTGCGGGAATTTAGAGGAGAGGGTTCCAAGCAGAAGGAATAGCAATGAAAAAATCCAGTGAGGCTGGAGCAATAATTTCAGAGGTAACAAATAACACAGTGTAGGGGCTTTCATGCCGCCAGAATAAATTTGGATTTTATTCTGAATAAGATGGGAAATCTTAGGAGGGATTTGTGTAAATGTGTGATGTGATCTAATTTACATTTTTAAAGGATGATTTTGGTGCTATCAGAAGAATATACTAAGGATATATTGCAACATTCACAACAGGAGCAAGGTCTTCCGTAGGCCTCCATGAAGGATTCTGAGGAAAGAAGATGCTCATAATGTGCCCATTAACAGTCCCAATATTAATTGATGTATTCATTCATTCAGTCAACAAATATTTATTAAGTGCAAACTATATACTAGGCATTAGTTGATACCTATCACTTGTGATACCCAAAACACATCCTTTTTTTAACAGAACTATCCTGTAGATGACAAAATGATTTTAAGAAATAATGATGAAATTAAATTAATAATGAAACTACAAAAGGAACATTGAGTGACTATTTTCTTTTACTGAACTTATTATAAACATATACATATATATATATGTCAATATAAAAATAAAATACAAAATAAATAGTACAGAACCAAAAAGGAAAAAATGGATCAAGGTGTTTTAATTGCATTAATGCATTTTTCAAAGGAAAAAACTTATATCTACACCGTGGTCTATCACAGGAATGAATAGTAATATTACAGGTTTCTGTTTTTGAGCCTTAACTTCTGTGTATTTGTCAATAACTTCATCAAAATTCAACATTTCTATATATTAAATAAATGGTATACCTAGATTTGTCAAGCTAACTTTGTTCATAACTGATTGATGCACACTTTTTATTTATTTTAATATTAGTCAGATTTGTTTCACAGTAATCAACAGATAGACAAATCAAAAAAGTCTTAAAATTGTGAATAAGCTTAGAATAAATTTATAACAATCTTATTTCCCCCAAATTTCAGTAACACCGATGTTTTGTTGTTGTTGTTGCTTCTTCTCCAACTTTAACTTTTATTTTGTGTTCAGGTATGTGTGCAGGTTTGTTATATAGGCAAATTGCATGTCAGGTGGGGTTGACAAACAGATTATTTCCTCATGCAGGTAATAAGCATAACAATTGATAGTTTTTCAATCCCTCCACCCTCCACCCCCAAGTAGGCCCCAGTGTCTATTGTTTCCATCTTTGTGTCCATGCATACTCATCATTTAGTTCCCTCTTATAAGTCAGAAACTGCAGTATTTGGTTTTATGTTTCTACATTAGTTCATTAAGTGTAATGACCTCCAGCTGTACCCATGGTGCTGCCAAGGACATGATCTCATTCTCTTTTATGACTGCATAGTATCCCATGGTGTGTATGTATTACATTTTCTTTATCCAATCTACTGTTGATGGGCATTTAGGCTGAGTCAATGTCTTTGCTAGGGAGAATAGTCCTGTGATGAACAGACCCATGCATGTGTCTATACAGTAGAATGCCTTATGTTCCTTTGAGTATATACCCATTAATGGACTCCCTATTCAATAAATGGTGCTGGGAAAACTGGCAAGCCATAGGCAGAAGACTGAAACTGAACCCCTTCCTTACACCACAATAAAAATTAACTAAAGATGGATTAAAGACTTTAATGTAAAACCCAAAACTATAAAGACCCTGGAAGATAAACTAGGCAATGCCATTCTGGACATAGGAGCTAGCAAAGATTTCATGACAAAGACACCAAAAGCATTGCGACAAAAGCAAAAACTGATAAATGTGATCTAATTAAACTAAAGAGCTTCTGTACCGCAAAAGAAACTATCAACAGAGTAAACAGACAACCTACAGAATTGGAGAAAATAATATCCAGCTTCTGTAAATTACTTAAACAAATTTACAAGAAAAACAACCCTATGAAAAAGTGGACAAAGGACATGACAGATACTCCTCAAAAAAAGACATACATGAAGCCAACAAGCATATTTTAAAAAGCTCAATATCAGTGATCATTAGAGAAATGTATATCAAAATCATGATGAGATACCATCTGAAACTAGTAAGAATGACTATTATTAAAAGTCAAAAAATAACAGATTTGGGTGAGCTAGCAAAGAAAAGGGAACACTAATACACTGTTGGTGGGAGTGTAAATTAGTTCAACCATTATGGAAAGCAGTGTGGCAATTCCTCAGTAAGCTAGAAACAGAACTATCAATTGACCCAGCAATACCATTACTGAGTAAATACCCAAAAGAATATAAGTTGTTCTATCTTGAAGACACATGCATGCATATGTTTATTGTAGCACTGTTCCTAATAGCAAAGACATGGAATCAACCTAAATGTCCAATCATGAGTTAGACTGGGTAAAGAAAATGTGGTATATGTACACCATGAAATACTACACAGCCAAAAAAGGAATGATATTGTGTCCTTTGAAGCAAGATGGGTGGAGATGGAAGCCTTCATTCTTGAAAAACGAATGCAGGAACAGAAAACCAAATATCACATGTTTGCACTTATAAGTGGGAGCTAAATAATGAGAACATGTGAACACAAAGAGAGGAACAACAGACACTGGGCCCCACTTGACCGTAGAGGGTGGGTGGAGGGAGAGCATCTATTTGATGCTAGGCTTAGTACCTGGTGATGAAATAATCTGTACGACAAACCCCTTAACATGACTTTACCTATATAACAAACCTTCACATGTACCCCAGAACCTAAAATCAAGGTTTAAAAAAAATAAGTAAATAAATAAATAAAACAAGATTAACATTTTTAATCCAAAAATAGAAAAAAATCATAATTCCTTTACACCCATATTTTCCTATATGAACAATCAAGAATAAATCAGTGGAATGCATTTAATGTTTTCATACCCTTATCCACAAATATAGAAGCTTATGATTGACATTTTTTTATCAATTAAAAACTTTGACTTTATGTAAGAATGATCTATAGGACACAGGGAACTGTTGTTTATGAGAATAAAAAGAAATGTAATTCTCAGAATATGTCTATGTGATGTCACAATTAGTGGCAGAAATATTTAAAAAGTCAGAAAAAAATATATATGTTGGGCTTGAGGTAGTGCACAACACAGACACAATCCCTGATCCCAGGGAGCTTAAGTATATTTTGATTAAGACAGTAAATAAATTAACAAGATTATTTTAAATGCTGATAAATGCTATAGAGAGTGGCTATAGTATTTAGTCTCTGGTTTGGGGTGAAAGTTACTTTAGATTGGGAATACCTCTTGAAGGAGCAGATGTGTCAGCTGATTCTTGAAAAAAAAGTGGGCCTACTCCTGTTAATATCTGAGCACTCCAAGCAGAAGGAACAACTAATGCAAAGACTGGGAGGTGGGAATTAACTTACTGGAGCACCATGAGTAAGGCAGAAAATGATGGAAGAGTCTGGTAGGAACCAGATCTATATAAAGAATTTGGATTTTCTTTTATTTATTCTTAAATATTCCTTGATTTATTATTGTAAATTTATCAATTGCCACTAACTGGGCACAAAAGGCAGCTTTGTATAATGGAGAGTATTAGCATAAAAATAAGATCTTGGCCTCTAAAGGCAGAACCTTAAAGAAGTTGAGCTAAACGAGATGTTCCAAAAGTTAGTGTACTCGGGATTCACCGGGATAATTTGATAAAATGAGAATTTCTGGATCCTGCCCTTGGATATTAGTATTTATTTGTTCTGATGTATGGGCATGTCTGAAGAGTACCCCAGGTGTTTCTAATATGGATACTCCTTGGGCCACATTTTAAGAAACAAATCAAGTCCACTCATAAGGACTATTATAACTTAAAATGGTATGTTATTTCTAGCTCTGACATCCTAGGATTATGTAAGGGCTCTTATTTAATGGTATTTGGTGATCCTGGGCAACAACAGTATTCTTGAGGACACATGAAATCCTCTCTCCAGTGACTTTTATTTCCACTTCACCTCAGCCATCCACAACAATGGCCATAGTTTTAACTCTTTATCACTAAGAAAACTACATTACCTCTGAAATTTTAAATTCAAACATTATTTTTTCTGACTCCAACTATTTTCCCTTTAACTCTTTGATCCACACATTTTATTGGATTCCTTGAGCTCTCTAGACCTTAATGTGTGTATTAGCTATCTTTGGCTACACAACACTTTATCCCAAATTTAGCAATATAAAAAACAAACATGTATTGTCTCACAGTTTCTATGGGCCAAGAGTTCTGAAGTAATTTAGCTGGATGATTCTACTCATCTCTCATGAGGTTGTAGTCAAGATATCAGCCAGAGCTGCTGTTATCAGAAGGCTTGATTGAGGCTTAAGGATCCACTTCCAAAATGGCTCACTCACTTTGGTGGTTGTTGATAGGAGCCTTCAGATATGCCATGTGATTCGCTCCATAAG